GCCCCCCAGAGGCTCCTCCTCTCCAGGCCCGGACCTCCGACGTTCTGACGAAAGGGAGGCGGCGATTAGGTGCCACTGTTGCATGCTTGGTGATGTTTCCCTGTTTGTGTACCTGTTTTTTTTTTTTGTTCCTTTGCCCCCATGTTGTTCCTGTTTTGTTGTAGTGTTGCTTGTTGCTTGCTTTGTTCTGGATTGTGTTTTTTGTTTTTTTTTTGTCTGTTTGTTTGTTATTAGGTGCCACTGTTGCATGCAGGGGCCGTCTTCAGGGCCCTGAAGCGTCAAACAACGATCCAGGACAGAAAAGTGGCCCCAGGGAGCGTGTCGAGACTTCCGGGTCGGGGGGGAGCACCAATACTGCCACCCGTCGAGCGTCGTCACGGCTGGATTTGCCTTGCAGCCTCTGTCAGAGTGCACTTTTTGGGACAGGTCCGGGGAGCAGCGGTGTCAGCATCTCTTAGCCCCCCGTTGAAAAACAGTCTTTTCGAAACCACATGCCCCGAACCATCCAAGGCCCTTCTCAGATGCCCACCACCCTCTTGTTACCTTGCCAGCTCCTGCCCGCCGCCACTTCTCGCTCTCCTCATCCTGACTCCCCGCCCGCCCTCCCCTTACTCGTCATTTTCCGCTTGCCCCCTCGGCCGTCCTGTTTGCTCATCGTGGTCATCGGCACACACACACGGCACGGCGGCAGATGCGAGCGAACAGTTCAGGTGTGCAGGTGGCGGCACAAAAGAAAGCTGACGAAACATCGCAGTTTTGCTACGCTCTGATTTTCTAATGCCACCCTATCCAGCCTTGCTTTGAAGGCCCCCTGGGTGTCTCCGAGGAGTCTCTGGGTCTCTGGGGATCTCTTTCTGTGCCCGTTCGGCGTCTGAGCCGATTCGGCCGCCGACTGGGCAGCCAGACAGGCTCAATTCGCAAAAGGGGGGTGGGAATCTGGACCGGTCGGCAGCCGAACGGGCTCGAACCCGAGTCCACTTTGCAGCTGGATGGACTCATACTTCGATTGGGCTCAAAAGGGTTCCCTTGGGGAGATCTGGGGCTCTGATGGGGGGGCCTCCAATGGGTGCTCTTGGGGCTCTTGGAGCCGCCCTGGGTGGGAGACGTCGTGGAGACAGCTGGCCGGGCGCCCATCTGAGGCTAAACTTGCAGAACAAACGCAGCCTTGTTCAGCAAACTTGGTGTCGGGTTCAGTCGCAACTCATGGGAGCTTCCCATGTCCTCGAAAGGCAGTCTTTGGGGTGCATTGGCTTCCGCTAGCGTCTAGGAATCGATGAGACAGCGCAGACTTGCCGTCGAGATTAGCGTCGACTACTCCAGACTTCGTAATAAAGGGAGGGGGGTCTCATTTCGGGGGGGGGAGGTCTATTCTCCCAGGCTATCTTGGAGGGCCGGGGGGGGTCTGGGGACGCGATGTATTGGAGGGTTCTCCCACGGGCGTGGTCTGAGTTCTGAAAATGGCTTGTCTTGAGGGGTCCAGACCCCCCCTCCCTTTTATTACGAAGTTCATGGAGTAGCGACGCAGAGCCGGCAAGATGGCATGGAGGCTCCCACGAGTTGCAGCAAGCAGTCGGGAGGTTTGCCCTATTAGGGGACTGCGCGCGGACCACGCGCGAACGTCGTGGGCCCGGGGGGATGGAGGGGCGAATGGGCCCCACAGTCAGCGGCACAGGGAGGAGGAGGAGGAGGAGAGGAGGAGGAGGAGGAGGAGGAGGAGGAGGAGGTGAGGAGAGAGGAGGAGGAGGACGGAGGAGGGGAAGGAGGAGGAGGAGGAGGAGGAGGAGGAGGAGGAGGAGGAGGAGGAGGAGAAGCGGTGTTCCAGGGTTGCAGGTCGCATCCCTCCCTGTGGGCCCATCCCTGGCCACTTTCGCTGGCCGCGCCCCGCTCGCAGAGCGTCGACAGGGCCCGCCGAGGCCCTCGCAGCCTCGCCGCGCGTCCTTCCCACACGGGTTGGCTGGTTGGGCGACTGCGGCGGTGACGAGCCGACGCCGGGGGCCCCGAGGGGGGAGGGGCCCCGGCACCGCACGCCTCGGCAGGGAGGGCCGGGGAGGCGTGCGGCGAGCACCGCGGCACTCCGGCTCGCCTCGGCCCCGAGGAGGGCGAGGTGCACGGGCGGCCGCGCTTCGGGCGCTTCGGCTGCCGGGCTCGGCAGCGAAGTCCGAACTCTGACAGCATCGATCAACGACTCGGGCAGCTCGATGGGCGGCGGGGGTCTGTCCGGGGAGAAGCAGGTGCCCAGACCGCTGCCCTTCCTTTGTTTTCACCCTTCCTGGGCCATCCGGGAGGCCACCTCGTCGCCACCGCTGGATTCGCCTCGAGGCCCTGGTCAGAACGCACACCAGGGGAGGTGCGGGGAGCAGCGGGATCGGTACTTCTTTGGTTTCGCTACAACTCCGAACCCTACCCTCGCCGATCAGCGATGCAGGCAACTCGATGGGCGGCGAGGGTAGGGTTCGAAATGCGTCGAACACGTAGCGAAGTCCGAACCCTACCCCCGCTGCCCATCGACGGAGGAGAACCGATGCTTGGTGTAGGTAGTGTTCGGATGTCGCCACCTAGCGTGCGTCCGCGCTTCGGGCGGTTCGGCTGCCTCGCAGTCGGCAGCATTCGGTCGGTTGCGTAGAATCTGCGGGGGCCCTCCACTGTCTCGATTCCTGCTGCATGCGTTCATCTTCCAGGTGGCCTCGCAGCCTCGGAGTGGGTCCGGATGGTCTCGAAATGGCCTTGGAATGGTCTCGGATGGCCTCGGAAAGGCGTCGGATGATTTCCGAATGATTTCAGATGTCCTGTCCTCGGAATGGCTTCGGATTGCCTCGGAATGGCCTCGAATGATCTCGCATATGGCGCTGATCGCAGTCGGCCGCATTCGGTCGGTGGTCGGTTCGTTTCGGTCGGCTGCTGCGCCGCCGCTTCCCTCAAAAGAGAAAGATGTATCGATTCCGCTACCCGCCCCTCGTTTCGCCTCCTTGTGCCTCCTGGGAGGCCACGGCTGGATTCGCCTCGAAAACCTTGTCAGAACGCACCCGGGAGAGGTGTATTTTTTAGTTTCCCCAGTTCCGTCGGCTGCTGCGCCGCCGCGTTCCTCCAGGCATCGTTTCGGTCAGCCCGTGTTTCGCTGTGGGTCCAGCCGGTGTTCGGTCTTGCGGCAGCAGCAGCAACAGCAGCAGCAAGAAGAGTGGGGTCACCCTTATCCTCCTCGCGCATTCTGTTGCCGTTCTGCCCGCCGCGGAGCACCTCGAGCCAACTCTGCGCAGCTGCTGTTGAGCCTTATCCTATCCTCCTCACGTATTCTGTTGCCGTTCTGCCCGCCGCGGAGCACCTCGAGCCAACTCTGCGCAGCCGCTGTCGAGCCTGATCCTCCTCACGCCTTCTCTTGCCGCTCTGCCTGCCGTGGAGCACCTCGAGCCAGCTCTGCGCAGCCGCTATAGTTCGGGGGTGGACAGAACCCCCAACAGTGACACGTCGATTAGTGACTTGTCCGTTTTCGGTTCTCGAGAGGGCGCCGTGGCCGTTATTTTCCAGGCTTGCGCCCGCCAGGTTTGGGCCTCAGGTCGTTTTCACTAAACCACGTTTTACTAAAGGGGGGTCTGTCCATCCCCGAATAGTGCGCTGGACGACGCCTCTGCTCGCGAGCGTGCGGTCGTGGGCGCCCGGGGGGGGGGCTGAGCCGGTTGCCTGCCCGCGGGGCTGCGCGGGCCCCGGGCGGGCGGCGGAGTGCACGCGTGGGCCGCCGGTCGTGCCCACTCCTGCCCCGCTGCGCGCCCGCTGGAGGAGGAGGAGGAGGAGGAGGAGGAGGAGGAGGAGGAGAGGAGGAGGAGGAGGGAGGAGGACGAGGAGGAGGAGGAGGAGGAGGACGAGGAGGAAGAGGAGGGGGAGGACGAGGAGGAAGAGGAGGAGGAGGAGGGGAGGAGGAGGAGGAGAAGAGGAAGAGGAGGAGGAGGAGGAGCACCAGTGGAAACCCAAGAGTCGTTGACGATGCTCGAAGAAACCCTCCCTCCAACCAAGCTCCCTCTTCATGGGTCCCTACAACGGTTCCGGTTTATTTCTACTGAGGGAACTGCCTCGTTGGAAGACAACCGTGCTGTCCCTTCGTCCGTCGTTTCTTCCCTCCTCTGCCACCTCGGCCGCCCCTGCGCTGGTGACAAAACATTTGGCCGCGAGCCCCGGGAAAGACTCTGTGAGGCCCAGCCCTGGCCCCGAGCCCTCTACCAGATCCATCTCGCGGCAGCGTTCGCCGAGTTTCTTAATAAGCGTCGGGGGGGGCGTCACCCCCACCGACAGCCCCACGTCGACCCCCGTCGCGGGCAGCCACCGCGCGCCGAAGGCGCTCCGACGCCCGTCGTGGCGCGACGACGAGGCGAGGTTGACCCCCGTCGGGGGGGTACCCCCCACGCTTATGAAGAAAACCAGAGTGGGCACCGCTCGTTGCAGGATGCCGCCCGTCTGCTGCAGCGCAGAGGGGGGGGTGTTTCTAGGGCTCCCAGATGGTGTCGGAGTATATTGTGTCGGAGGATCGCGCTACATTGCCGATGCATCGGCGATGCGGCTCCATGAGGAGCCCGACCTTCTCCACGCGTGCGTCGCTGCTGCATCGGCGATGCGGCGAGATCTTTGACCTCATCTACGACACCATCTGGGAGCCCTTTACTATTGGAGGAGGAGGGTAAACCACGCCGCCACCTCGCCTCGTCCCTCCGAGGAGGACAGGGTACCGATATCTCTACCCTTCCCTCGTGCTCGCCGTTCTGGCCCACCTGGTAGGCCCTCGTCAGCACGGCTGGATTCTCCCCGAGATCCTGATCAGAACGCACCACGGGCGAGGTCTGGGGAGTGCCGATTTTGGTACCTGCTGCATTCCCCAGTCCACATCCCTCGACGGGGAAATTGGCGCACGAGCACCAGTTTGAAGTCGGGCATGTCCCTCCAGAGGAGGACAATGCAAACATAGTCCCGAAATGCTATTGGAACTGTTTTTACTCGTCCAAAATCCGCTTCTAGGGGGAACATGCCCGACCTAACGCCAGTCTTCAGAGAGTCCGCGCGGATTTCCTGGATCGGCCCCTGGGGGCGGCCTCCCTCTCCTGCGGTGCGGCGTCCGTGCTGCGCGCCCAGGACACCACGTATGTGGTCACGTCGCTGGCGGAGGACGGGCTCCGCCCGCAGGCCGTGCGGTGCGCCTCCTCCGGCTCCGCAAGACGCTGCTCTGCACGTCCTCTCTCGAAGGAGAGAGAACAGGAAAACAAAGACGACATTCACATAAACTCGTGGCCCTGCGCGCGGCTGTCTTGGATCCGCGTTGGGCCCCCCCTGGCGGCGCCTCCGGCGCCGCCCCTGACGCGCTCCGCGCGCCAGGGAGGGGGGTGCAGCGCGGATCCGAGAGATCCGCGCGGAGCGCCAACAGTTTCTGTTTATGACGTGTTTTCTTCTTCTCGTCTCCGGCACTGCCGTCGCTGCCTCTCTTGCTGCTGTCGTCGCCGTGGCTGCCGGGAAGCTGGCTGCGGGTGACGTGGCCAGCCCGGGCAGGAGCTGGCTGACTGCACGTGACGTGGCCAGATGTCTACCCAGCGCGCGGGCTTCTGAGGTGTGAGCATGTCCGACGTGAGGGTCTGTCCGCACCACCGCCCGGGGGATCGATCCTCGGGGACCTCTCGGCAGGTGGAGGGTGTGGATGGGACCCCGGGGGTCTCACAAGCACAGCTCGGGCCGGACGAAAGGGGGGGGGATTGGGAAAGGGGGGGGTACGACCTTTGGGCCCCAGGGGTCCAAATTGGGCCCCAGGGGTCCAAATTGGGCCCCAGGGGTCCAAATTGGGCCCAGGGGTCAAATTGGGCAGGTGGAGGGGATGGATTGGGCCCCAGGGGTCCCAAGCACAGCTCGGGCCGGACGAAAAGGGGGGGGGGATGAGGAAAGGGGTGGGGGGACGAAATTTGCTGCGTGCAGCTGGTTTCGGCCTCACCGAGGGGCCCATTCCTCGATACATAGCCGACTCCGGCGCCGGGAGGCGCCGGGAAAATCTGCTACGTGAGCTGATTCTCAAACCCCCCCTTTGCTGTCCCCCCCTTTCGCCCGACCCGAACATCCATGTCCGCCGCCCCCCTCCCTCCTGCAGCATGGGTCCCAGGACGTCGGGCCCCCGGGCGGCAGAACTGGGTAGCTCCCCGCCTCGCAGCGTGTGTCCTGCGTGCGGTCTCCGGTGGACCTGGCCACGCGTGCCTCGGGCCTCCTGGCAGGATACCTGTCGCTGGGCTGGGGCCGTCGCCAGCAATTCGTTGGATATCGCTGGGAGCAGGCAGCTCGTCACGCTTCACGCAATCTCACCAGCCCATTCGGGAACCGTGCCCACGAGGGTGGACAAGAGGAGGGGCGAGGAGACACATGTGGTCAGACGAAGCGGGCGACCAGGATGAGCAGGGAGATCTCTGGGAGCAGGGGGTTGGCCCTGGAGGGCCTCGTCGGGTCATCCTTGGAGCCCGCGTGAGGGCGAAGGGAGGAGGAGGAGGAGGAGGAGGAAGAAGACGGCGACGACGACGGCCACGACGACCACGACGACGAAGAGGAAAAGAAGGAACAGTAAGATGATGAGGGCAAGGACGGGGACGAGGACGAGGACGGAGGGAGGACAACGAGGACGAGGACAGAGCCCTCAAAATCGCCTCTTAGAGCCCTCTTGGGACTTGTTTGGGGGATCTTGTGGCTCTCTTGGGACTCTTTTGGGATGTCTTGGGGCTCTCTTGGGGCCCTCTTAGGGGGTCGGTCCCTTGGGAGTCTTGAGGGGCCTCTTGGGGCCATCTTGGAGGCCATCGGACCCGAGGGGCCGAGGGGGGGAACCTAAATTTTGCCCCCCCCCTCCCCCCCCCTTGGGGCCATGAAAACTGCCTCTTGGGGCCCTCTTAGGGCGCTCTTGGGCCGCCCTTCTTGTGCGCTCTTGGAGCCGTCTGGAGGCTTGATTTGGCCCCTCTTGGGCCTCTCTCGGTCCATCTCGGGGCCATCTTGAGGCTCTAAACGCGCACCAGAAGCGAAAAGGCGATCAAACATATGTGATTTCTCTCAGGTGTTTCATGGATTTGGGCCTCTTGGGGGTGTCTGAGGGGGCTCCGAGAGCACTTGGAACCGTCTTGTTGGCCTCGTCGGGCCTCTTGGAGGTGTGCCAGAAGCTATAGTGAACCATCGTCGGCCATCTTGAGCCATCTTGGAGAAAAACTTGGAATCGTATGCCCTCTTGGAGCCATCTTGGTGCTCGTTGGGGGGATGTCGGGGTCCTCTTGAGGCTTTTGTTGGAGGGCCCTGGGGCCCTCTTGGAGCCCTCTTGGGGCCCCCGACGCCCTTCCGCCCCCCACGAGGTCTCCGTTTGGCGGTGGTCTTGGTGAGCCCCTGCTGGTGCAGAGAGCCCCCGCCCCTCCTTCTCCCAGCCCGCGCCAGAGCTGCGCTGGCAGGCGGCCACCTGGCTCACCCACTGCACGCCCTCGCAGCCCTTAGAGGGCTTGCGGCCTGGACCTGCTCCCGCTGCCGCCCCCGGCGGCGGGTCTACTGGTTGTTTTTTATGTTTCCCAATAGGCAGGACGCAGGCATCCTGCTTTTTTTTCACCTCGCGCGGAGCTCTGGGGAGCCTCTCCGGGCCATCCTGGAGGCCATCGATCAAAGGGGGGGGACGGGTTGAGGGCGGGTTGTTTTCAAGATGTGGTTCTCGCCTCAGTGCCGTGCACATGTTTTATACGTTTCGGAAGAGTTGCCCCGATTGAGGGCGGGTGGTTTCCAAACTGTGGTTCTCGCCTTAGCGCCGCGCACATGTTCGCGTTTAAGCTTTCGCAGAAGTTTCACGGATTGAGGGCGGTTGGTTTTGAATGTGTGGTTAGTTATCATTTCAGCGCCCCGCGCAGTCTCAAAACAATTCGCAAGAGTTTCACGGATTGAGGGCGTCTGGATTCCCAAATGTGGTGTTGGTTTGAGCGCCGCGCGCATTGTCGGCTACTTCTCAAAATGTGGTTCTCACATTCTCGCCGCGCACGTTCATTTCAACAACCTGCAAGATGCAGGATGTTCAATGGTTTTCAGGGCTACAGTATCATACATGCTTTCTTGCTGTAACGATTCAGGATTGTCAGCGCGCAGCATGTACGTTAGTTCGCGGCGTTGAAGTCCCTATTTTGGCGTTCTGGCGCGATTCTGGATCGCCAAGACGCAACCTTCAGGTTGATTCTTTGCGTTGAAGTCTTGATAGCGATGTTGGGACGCTTCGGGATTTTCACACGGTTGTCCCTCAGCGGTGCATTACCTTCAGTGGAGATTAATTTTTGTAGGGGTTTGTGCAGAGGGAGGGAGGATGTATTCCAACATCATTGATCAGTCTTGCGATTGCACTGGTCCTCCTCCTCGTTCCACCCTCCCCCCCATCCTCTTCCTCGAGCCGCAATCCTCCTCGTTGTCCTCGCCCTCCAGATCACCCCCCCATCCCCCTTTTCCTCGTCCCTATCACACGCCAAGTAGCCCCCAAGAGGCCGGAAGATCTGTTCAGAACGTCGACCCCCAGAAATCTCGGCGCATTCCACGTGACCAGTGTTTCGTCCTGAGTCTGGCTTGGACGGCCGCGGAGCCTTGTGAGGGCCCCCTGGAGCTGGAAATGGCCTTAGGCCGCCGTCGCGATTGTTCTCGCTTCGCGCCGCGAGGAAGTCTGGTGCACAAGACCAGACGGTCCCCCCCCTCCCTCGTCCCCCTTGAGCTTCCCCCTCCTCCCTCCCATGCGGATACAACTTCTGGGAGGTCAAATTCTGTTTTGGCCCTGGTCCGGAATCTGGCTGAATCCAGCTTAATCCCGCTTAATCCGGCTTCATCCCGCTTAATGCCGTTTAATCCGGCTTAATCCCACTTACTCCGAGGCCCACTCCGGCGTAACAGCTCCCAAATGGGGCCTAATCCTCCTTAATCTTTCCGACGAGAACCTCCCAGTAGTTGCCTCCTAACCCTCGAGCTTCCCCCTCCTCCCTCCCTCCTCCTCGGGCATCGATCCTTTCCCGCTCCCTTGATCTGAGGGCCCCGTCCGCGACGCGCAGGACGGGGACTTGTTCTCCTGGAGCCTGCGGGGCCCGAGGCCTGGGCCGACACGGGAGGCGCCCATCCCGTGCGAGCCGGAACGGAGGGGCTCTTGGGTGGGGGAGGGGGGAAAGGGAGGGGAGGAGGAGGAGGAGGAGGAGGAGGAGGAGGAGGAGGAGGAGGAGGAGGAGGACCAGGAGGACCAGGAGGACCAGGAGGACGAGGCGGGCGAGGAGGACGAGGAGGCGGAGGAAGAGGGCGAGGAGGAGGAGGAGGCGGAGGAAGAGGGCGAGGAGGAGGAGGAGGAGGTGCAGGAGGAGGAGGAGGACATGGAGGAGGAGGCAGAAGGGGAGGGAAGAGTAGGCGGCGGAGTAGGAGGAGGAGGAGAAATACGGCAGGAGAGGAAGGGCGAGGCGGGGGCCGTGGGGAAGCCAGGAGAGGAGGAGGAGGAGGCGGAGGAGGAGAGGAATACGAGGAGGACGCGGAGGAGGAGGAGGTTGGAAAGGGAGGAGGAGGAAAGGGAAGAGGAGGAGAAGAGGAGGAGCAGGAGCAGGACAAAAGAGGAGGAGGAGGAGAGGAGGAGGAGGGTAAGGAGGAGGAGGAGGGTAAGGAGGAGGGAGGAGGAGGAGAGGAGGAGGAGGAGAGGAGGAGGAGGGAGGAGGAGGAGGAGGAGGAGGAGGAGGAGGAGGAGGAGGAGGAGGAGGAGGAGGAGGAGGAGGAGAGGGAGAAGGAGGAGGAGGAGGAGGAAGGAAGCAGAGGGGAGGGCAGAGTAGGAGGCTAGCAGGAGGAGGATGAAGCTGAGGAGCAGGAGGAGAAGGAATACGACAGGAGGGAGGCGAGGGGGCTGAGGGGAAGCAAGAGGAGCAGGGCACGATGAGGAGGAGGAGGAGGAGGAGGAGGAGGAGGAGGAGGAGGAGGAGGAACGATGAGGAGGAGGAGAAGGAGGAGGAGGAGGAGGAGGAAGAGGAGAGGAGGGAGGAGGAGGAGGAGGAGGAGGAGGAGGAGGAGAGGTAAGGAGGAGGAGGAGGAGGAGGAGAAGGGAGGAGAGGGAAGAGGAGGAGGAGGAGAAATACGACAGGAGAGCAAGGGCGAGACGGGGGTGGAGGCGAAGAGGGGGATGGAGTAGGAGGAGGAGGAGGAGGAGGAGGAGGAGGAAGAGGAGGAGGAAGAGGAGGACGAGGAGGAGGAAGATGAGGAGGGGGAGGTGGAGGCGGGGGAGAAGGAGGGCGAGGTGGAGTTGGAAAAGAAGGGGGAGAGGCGCGCGCCTGGCGAACGATTGGAACGTGTGCGCGCCCCGCTCGCCGTGCCCAGGCGAGGCACACGCCAGCTCCTCCGCGCCGCAGCCCACGCCACCCACAGCCTGAATGACGCCAGCGCCATCGACGACAGCGCCATGACAATACGAGACATGTTGTTCTCGTCTGAGGTGAGGCTTCCCATGCCATCTTCTTTCATACCGTCAGTGCGACGACGGGCTGAAATATCTTCCGGAGCTGACGTGGCTGCCATTGCCCGCGCCATCAACGATGCCGGCGGTTCTTACACCAGCGCCACCGCCAGCATCAAGTTCCGAAACCAGCCCACCTGCAGGTCCACAGTCGTCCAGATCGACAGCACCGTCGCCCACAGCGACGCCCACGCCGCAAGCGCCGACGTCAACTTAAGCGATGCCGACAGCATCTATTACCCTGGTCCCAGATGCCACCAGCCCAGTCTGTGCTGGCCATAATGCAGGGACCGGGGCAACGAGGGGAGGTGTCGCTTCCCCGACTGCGGTCCAAGTTCTAGTAACAGCGGAAGGGGCTTTTCTCGGCGCAAATGTCCGACGGCAGCGCATCCGCATCCGCCGCATCCGCATCCGACATCGCCGTCGCCGAGTACGAAGAGGAGCCACACCCCGAGTGCAAGGATGCTTCCTAGGAGATTGAGGACTCGGATGCCGAGTACGGGGAGGACTCCAACGACGTCGCGGCCCAGCCGGCCCTCAAGGAGGTGGACTCCGACGCCGAGTGCCCCGATTTTGAGGAGGACGACCGCCTGGAGAGGGACCCCGCCGCCGCGCACGAGGAGGAGGACGAACGCGAGGAGGAGGGCGTGGACGCGAACGCCTCCGCCAGCAGCAGCGACGGCGCCCGCCTCCGAGCTCCTAGCCACGCTCACGACACACTTCCCAAGGGGACGTGCGCGAGCATACAAGCAGTGGCGAAGCGTCCCAGCTCGCCTATAGGCCTACCAAATAATGTTCTGAGAACCTCTTGTGAGACCCACGAAATGTTCTTAGAACATCTCTGGCTGAGATTGTCTTGCTTTAACACATCGGGTTTATGCTCGACGAATTTTGAATTTGTTATTAGAACATTCTTGGGTTCTAAGAACATATCGTTGTAGGCCTATAGGAATGCTGGGACGGTCGGTCCCTGCTCAAAGCAAACCTCAATGCAAGAGTTTTACGGATTGGGGGCGGGCCGTTTTCAAAACGTGGCTCTCCCCTAAGCGCCACGCGCAGTCGTCCCAAGAGGTTGCGCGAGTTTCACAGGATCCCATCGTTAATGTATCAGAAATTGTGTGATCCGGAGCGGATCAGGACTTTCAGGGCGCAGCAGTTTCCTTGATTCGCGGACTCGCGGTGTTGAAGTCCCAGGAATGGGTTACTGGTGTGATTCGAGATCGTCAAGACGCAATAGTGATGTTGATTCGTGGCGTGTAAGTTCGGAGAATGCTGTTCCGGCTCGCTTCAGGATCTTCCAGCGGTTGTTTCTTGACGGGGCAGTTCCCTGAGTGGAAATGAGCCTTCGTAGCAGCCTACGAAGGGGGAGCTTGGAGAGAGGGTTTCTTCCAACACCTCTGTTGAGTCTTGGGTTTACGGTTAAGTCGGGCATGTCCATCTACAGGAGGACGGTTCAGAAGCAGTCAAACATTGTCTGGGGACGACTCTTTGATCTTTTTCTGTTATCCTTGAGTATTGTAGTGGATATGTTCTATTGTTCGTTCAACACCCGCACGTGGGAAGACATGCCCGACCTAAGTTTACACTGGTCTTCTCTCCCCCTCCTCCCCGAGGGGAGGGGGGGGGCGCCTTCGTCCGCCCTGCTCCTCCTCGTCCGCGAGGGGGGGGGGGGGGGCCTCCCCTCCCCCCCTCGCTCGTCGGATTGACAGGCGCCTGCGCCCGCCCTCGCCGTCCTCCACGTCCCGCTCGCCCCGCCTCCCCCTCCCCGCGGTGAGCCGCGCGCCGCCTCCCGAGGGGCGGGACAGGCGCAGGCCCCGCAGGCCAGCCACAACTGGGGGAGCTGTGTTTCCTTACCCCCCTGGGGTGGCCATCGATTTCGACACCCCTCTCGACCCTCTCGAGGGATCGTCGGTGCGATGGGTTCCCCCAGAGGGCGTAAGGACCACAGCTCCCCCAGTTATGGCTGGTCGGCCCCACCTGCGCCTCGCACCGTGCCGCCTGCCTCTCGTGGGTCCTGGGGGGAGATGGGTCCTGAGGGGAGGCGGGTGCTGGGGTTTCTCGCCGTGGCTCGCGGAGTGACCACGGCAAGAGAATGCTTGAGGAGGCTGCCGAGGGGCAAGCTCCAGGCCGCGGTCAGTGGGCCAGACAGCAGGTAGCGAAGGAGCGACTCAGGTGATGCACAAGCATGGCTTAGCCCAGAGAGGAAACAAACATCGGGCTCCTGGGGCCCTCCACGGGGCCTACGACTGACATGAAACCGCTCAGGAAGGACGTCTCGTTCTGGGAGGCGGCCCCAGGATCCAGGACCCGTTTGCCTCAGGACCCGCTGCTTCCATGATAATATTTGTCTGCTTCCCTCCCATTCCCCTCCCATCCATCGAGGGGAGGAGGGCAGGAGAAAGAGGAGGGAGGAGGAAGGGGACGAGGGGAACGATGGTCGAGCAGGAGGGAGGGGGGGGAAGGGGATCAGGAGCAGCGAGGAAGGTGGCGAAGCCGATGATCCCCTCGAGGTCAGGGGCGCCTTCGTGGGTTCCGTCCCTCCTCGTCCTCCTCGGCCCTACTGCCCCTCCTCGAGAGGGGGGGCGCCTTCGCTCGCCCTCCTCCTGCTCCACCGCTGCTCCTTACAACCAGCTCGTCCCTGTCAAAGTCCCAGATGTGTCCGTAGGGCGCACTGGGCGTCTCCCCTCGCCACCCATGGCCCCTCAGTTTCGTGTGTGTGTGTGTGTGTGCAGCAGTGTGGCTCTCGCCCAAGCGCCGCGCACATTCGCTTTGAAAGGTGGCAAGAGGTTCATTGATGGAGGGCGTTTAGTTTTCAGCACGTGGTTCTCGCCGTATCGCCGCGCACATTCGTCTTGCAAGTTTGCAACTGGTTCCCCGTTTCAGCACGCGGAGGGCGCCTTAGCGCCGCGCGCATTCGTCTTCAAAGTTGGCAACCGCTTCACGGATGGAGGGTAGGCCGTGTTCACATTGTTGTTATTAAGTTCGTACCGGGCCTTTTCACAATGAGGATTTCGATTCAACGCCGCGCACGTTCTTTTAACACGTCAACGACATATTCAAGGGTTCTTATGGCCGAAATCCCAGAAGTGGTGGCATGACACGCGTCAGGATTTAGGGCTGTCAGGACGCAACAGTCGCGTTGGTATGCGGCGTTGAACTCCCAGGAATGCTTCGTTGGCACGGCTGATGATTCTGAGACGTGCGTTTTCCAATGGGGTATTTCCCGCAATGAAAATCAATTATTGCAGGAGTCTATGAAGAGAGAGAACTTGGAGGGAGGATGTATTGCAACATCGATGCTGCGTCTTGGGTTTGCACTGGTCCTCCTCGCGTCCCCCCCCTGCCCCGAGGCGCTCATGCAGCCGATCGTCCTTCAGATATTCACTGCGGTGAGGCCCCCGCCGATCCCGCGCGGACCCGGGAGGCGGGGTGTGTGGCGGGGGGGGGGGTGCAGCAGGTTCGTGTCGTTTGGACGTGAGGCCGAGTGGGAATTCGGTGAGCCGAGTGGGGCCTCGGTGAGTCACGCCTGGCCTCACCGAGGCCATGCTCAGTTGGCCTCCGCAAACTTCCATACCCTGTGGTTTCCTTCTTCCACCTGTCGTTGGTCTGGCCCAGGTGCGCGATGGTGTAGGGATGGTGTTACAGCGTCTTCATCCACCCCTTTGGTGTGTTGGTCGGTTCGTATATTGGTCAGACTTCAAGTGCCGCGTATGTGTACTCCTTGATGAGGCTGCAGGGCTCGACGCCCTGCTTGGGCTTGTCGGGTGCGCATGCCGCTGGTTTAGCGAAGTTGGGGTCAAATCGCTTGCTTATGGGAGATATGCAGTCGAGTACCTCAGCTTCTTTTCGGATATGCTGTCCGTGTAGAATTCTAGGTTGATCATGCTGTTGGAACACAGGTGCCGCACTTGGTGCGATGTTCGGCCTTCCGTGTTGCTCGAGTTGAAAGATTATTTCTCTTTCTCTATGTGCGTGTTGTAGTGCTTGATGCCCTCGGTTATCCCGATCTCCGCGTGATTGGAGAACGTGGTGCTGGGGAACATGTTGAAAACCTTGTAGTGGATGGTGGCGTCACATGGATCGATGTCGTTTGTCAGTGATGTACCCCACTGTGGGTCCACCGGCTATTCCATGGCTTGGTCGACTTGCGGTGTCGCAAGCGCCGGGTAGTTGTAGGGTCGGTGGCCGAATCATTGAGCCAGATGTATGCGGTACGTAGCTTATTGGAGGCCGCTCGCAACGGATGAGTTGTTACGCTATGATGTTTTTTTTTCTGCCAAGTCGTTTCCAGTCGGTGCCACGGTCTGTGGAGGGCAGTCATCCTTCAGGTCAGGCGTACGAGAAATCGTGGTAGGCGTAGCTCAAGTGGCAGTTCAGGTAATGCCTGTCAGGGGACGTGCCTCGAGTGATGCGGACTGCACGGGTGATTGTGTTAATCCCAGTCCATCAATTGTCGTGGCTTGCCGAGGTAGTAGTCGCCGATACGCAATGCAGTCGGTGCTTCATGAAGTCGTCGTACGGATCCAGCGGGGTGCAGAAGGAAGTGTAGTGGTCCTCGATCTCCTATTGGTTGGTCGTGTCCTCGATGTCCCATCGTGCGCACGGTGCTTCGTACAACGTTGCTGCAAGTGTCTTGCTAAGCTCTGTCGGGTATGCCTTGGCCGCCGCGCTTCGCCATGTTCCGTCTTCGCTCCGCTACAGGAGTGGCGTGTGCGCGCCATGTTCGTGATTGCATCTGCATCGGCTACCCCACGTTTCGTAATAAAGGGAGGGGGGGGGTCTCATTTCGGGGGAGGTCTCTTCCGGGCTATTTTGGAGGGCCTGGGGGGTCTGGGGACGATGTTTTGGGGGGTTCTCCCACGGGGGAGGTCTGAAATTGCTTGTCTTGGAGGGTCCAGACCCCCTCCCTTTTATTACGAAATCTGGAGTAGGTTTGGCAAATATGCGTGCTGGTAGTCCTGCTCCTCCTCCTGCAGCAAAGGGGGGTCCCTGAAGGGGCATGTGCGGCGCTGCTGCCCGAGAGAGCAGGAGGCCGCCCGCGAGGGCACGAGCGCCCCGAGAGTTTCGATCCTTCCTCCTCCTCCTCCTCCGCCTCCTCCTCCGCCTCCTCCTCCTCCTCCTCCTCCTCATGTTCCTCCTCCTCCTCCTTCCTCCTCCTCCTCCTCCTCCTCCTCCTCCTCCTCCTCCCCCTCCTCCTCCTCCTCCTCCTCCTCCTCCAGGTTGTTTGGGATGGCTTTCCGAGGCCCCCCGCAGAAGCTCCTTGAGGTACTTTTTCCCAACCATCCTGTGGTGTTGGGTCCTCGTTTTGAAGAGACGGTGGCCCGCGTCTCATCCTCCTCTCCTCTCCTCTCCTCTCTTCTCCTCTCCTCTCCTCTCCTCTCCTCTCCTCTCCTCTCCTCTCCTCTCCTCTCCTCTCCTCTCCTCTCCTCTCTCCTCTCTCTCTCTCTCCTCCTCCTCCTCCTCCTCTCCTCCTCCTCCTCCTCCTCCTCCTCCTCCTCCCTCCTCCCCTCCTCCTCCTCCTCCTCCTCCTCCTCCTCCTCCTCCCTCACCATCATCATCGTCATCACCCATTTCGGCACACCCCTCACACGTTTCGTGGCCCCACAGGGATCTCCACCGAAGGTCCCAGTGGGTGTGCCCGCATGCGTCCCGCACACCCATTTCGGCACACCCCTCACACGTTTCGTGGCCCCATAGGGAGCTCCACCGAAGGTCCCAGTGGGTGTGCCCGCATGCGTCCCGCACACCCATTTCGGCACACCCCTCACACGCTTCGTGGCCCCATGAAAGCTCCACCGAAGGTCCCAGCGGGTGTGCCCGCATGCGTCCCGCACACCCATTGTGGCACACCCTCACACGTTTCGTGGCCCCATAGGGAGCTCCACCGAAGGTCCCAGTGGGTGTGCCCGCATGCGCCCCGCACACTCATTTCGGCACACCCCTCACACGTTTCGTGGCCCCATAGGCAGCCCCACCGAAGGTCCCTGTGGGTGTTCCCGCATGCGTCCCGTACGCCCATTTCGGCACACCCCTCACACGTTTCGTGGCCCCATAGGCCCATAGGGAGCTCCACCGAAGGTCCCAGGGGGTGTGCCCGCATGCGTCCCGCACACTCATTTCGGCACACCCCTCACACGTTTCGTGGCCCCATAAGGAGCTCCTCCGAAGGCCCCAGTGGGTGTGCCCGCATGCGCCCCGCACACCCATTTCGGCACACCCCTCACAAGTTTCGTGGCCCCATACGGAGCTCCACCGAAGGTCCCAGTGGGTGTACCCGCATGCGTCCCGCACACCCATTTCGGCACACCCCTCACACGTTTCGTGGCCCCATAGGGAGCTCCACCGAAGGTCCCAGTGGGTGTGCCCGCATGCGTCCCGCGCACCCATTTCGGAACACCCCTCACACGTTTCGTGGCCCCACACGGAGTTCCACGGAAGGTCCCAGCGGGTGTGCCCGCATGCGTGCCGCACACCCATTTCGGCACACCCCTCGCACGTTTCGTGGCCCCGAGTTTATCCGCTAGGCCTGACCTGAGGAGCGGCCCGCCACAGCCGCGCCTTCTCTCGGTTGTCCAACTGTTTGGCCTCGCGCCGCGGACGCCCTGCGCGCGTCGCTGGGACCCTCTCGGGGCGATCAGCGCGCGTCGCGCGAACTCCGCGCTGCGCTCTGTCTAGCGCCTCGCTCGCCCGTCGTCGCTCCGCCCGGCGGCCAGAGCCATGCGCGCTATCAGTTAGCCAACAAACAATATGTGTTCCACGCAGCGCACGAACCGTGCGCGTCACTGTGGCCCCTTCGGGGCGACCTGCGCGCGTCGCGAGGGCTCCGCCTTGCGCTGCGCCCGCAGCCTTGGACTGGAGCGCCACCGAAGAATATATTCATAATTGCGGTACTCACAATTGCATATGGTTGGGTCCTTCGCCCGGATAATTTTGATTTGCGGCCCGCAAGGAGAAGCCCAAAGGGCGGTATGACCGAGGCTGAGGCACAGCGCAAGATAATTAGCGCGAGAACGCGCGGAATGCACCTGCAAAACAAATTAGGAAGAAGGCGGCCACAATTGGGCAACCAACGAACACAGGCCGGGCCCGCCCCTGGAGGTACGCGAAGGCTGGAGGCCCCCCAAGACAGCCAGGTGAGCAATAGAAACGTTGTAATGTGCGCGAGACTCCAAGTTCCCTTCGGCAGCGAGCGAGGGGGGGAAGTGAAAATGGGCGGGCCTTCTCAGAAAGCTCGGAAATCCCCCGCCCGAAAGCGTTCCCCGAAGACACCGATTTTTTCATATGGCCAGGGGAATTCGGACCGCTGCATTCTGAGAGGGTCTTCTCCCCTCGCTTCCCCCCTCGTTCGCTGCCGATCCATGTCGCCCAAATTGGATCGGAGTAGATGGGGTCGAAGAATCACACCGGCTCGCCGATGCATGAGGTGGCGCGGCGCGATCTAGAGCTAAAGTTTCGCCGTCCTGACGTCACCGATGCATCCGGCCAAATTTAAGCGGCACTTTGAATCAGTGATGACCCCCCAGCCACACGTCGCCACAGTCACTGATCATCGTGGGTCGGTAAGGAGTTTTCGTGGATGAGGTATACAACGCGCCCTCCTTCGATCAGATTACACATATTCCATTCGTGGAAGATATATATGTGTGTATATATATATTATATATATGGATGCCCAAGTCGTGGCGCCTCCTTACTTCAATAGTGGAGCGGTCGTCCTTTTTCCCCTTTCTTGCGGGGCGGGCAGAAGCCCAATCTACCTTTCGACGCCTTCCTACTTCGCGCTTCTGCCCAGACTTTCCGACTGGCGGGTACGCGCCTGCGCCGCTGCCGCCCGCCGTGCCCCCGTGGGGAGCTGCGTGTGCACGTCGCACCTGGCATGTCGCACCCGAAGTGGAAGGTTGGCCACAGAAAGGTCGGGGGCGGAAAAGAGGGGGGTGATGACTAGGGGGGGTGGATATCATGGCGGGGGCCATGGTATTTCCCCAGATTTCATGGCGCCTCTCCTTATTTCATTACGTCCCTGGCCCCCCCGCTGGGCCGCGCACGTGCCGCCGGTCATGATTTGCACCCCCTTCTCTTGGACACCCCCATCTTGGCCGCTCCCGAGGGTTGGCCACAGAAAGGCCAGAACCACAAACGCAGTGGCTTCCGCGCGGCAGAGGGGGAGACGAGGAGGAGGGAGGGACGTCGAGCAGGAGCGGGAGGCCGCGGAGTAGGAGGGGCTGGAGGAGGAGGAAAGAGGCGGAGGAGGAGGGGGGGGCGAGGATGAGAAGGAGGAGGAGGAGGAGGAAGAGGAGGAGGAGGAGCTGGAGGAGAAGGACCATGAGGAGGAGGAGGAGGAGGAGGAGGAGGAGGAGGAGGAGGAGGAGGAGGAGGAGGAGGAGGAGGCCGAGGTGGACGAGGACGACGACAAGGGAGGACGAGGAGGGCGACGACGAGGTGCTCCGGGGGCGCTGCAGGTGGCTGCACGAGCTCGGCATCGCGCACAGGGCCCCGCGCCCCCCCCCCTCCAGGCAGAGGGGTGGGAGGAGGAGGGGCGGGAGGTGGAGGACGGGGAGGAGGGAGGGCGGGGGAGAGGGGAACGGGGGAGGAGGAGGGAAGAGGAGGAGGAGGAGGGAAGAGGAGGAGTAGCTGGAGTTTCTGGTTTGCGGAACGCTGTCCAGGCCTCTCAGAGGCACCAGCGAAAGCAAGAACATAATGCCCACGAGTTGTAAGACAGAATGTTGCTGGATGGAGGGATCCCCGCCACAAAGAGAAGCAGAAGCAAAAAGAGGGGCCAAACGACAGAAGGAAGGGGAGGACTGTCGCTGGGAAGTTCCGCGGCCGAGCGAGCCACCAGGAGGCGCAGGCGCCCTGAAGATCTCGCGGCCGAATGTCGCCACGCGGGCCGACCCGTGCCAGACTTGCTACGGCCAAGCCTTTGGCCCTCCAAGAGCCGACTCGTGGGGCGGATGCCTTCCGCTCCTCGGCGACGGCCAGGAGGTGCCCCGGCCCTCCTCGCATCGATGTTTCCTCGGCACCGGCCCCTCTCACTTGCAGTCTCCGCGTTGTAGTTGCGGCAGGGGCCACCTCCCCTCGCGGCGCGGATCTTCCGCACACTTTTTTCGGTCGCGTCCACCAGCGAAGGCGCTGGCGGAGTCAGAAAGGCTCCGGGACACGGTAGCGGCCTAATTAGCTGCGAAACGCGCCGCAGGCCGGCCGGCCCACTCACCAAGCAGCGGCAGGTTGCGCGGGAGAGGGATCTTCCGCACACGCGCTGCATCGCAAGCTCGTTGTGCACGCTCGCGCCCGCTTCGCATCAGCTGATCGCAGCTCTGTTGCCGATGCCACACTGCGCGCCTTCTTGCGCGAACCCCGTTGGCGACATAATGTTCACCACTGCCTGCCCGTGCTTGTGTCACGCGCACTTTGGAGCCTCCTGAGCTCGCCCCAACGCTGCAGCTGACTGCGTCTGCTGCCATGGCCCTCCGCTGGCTTTGACGATGAACCCAGCACTGTGGGCTGCGATGTTGGGCTCGCGCCAGTCCTCCAATGCTGCTGTCAATGCCTGTGCTTCTCGCACGCCGTGGCGCCGCTGCTGTAGCTGATGATGTCAGGCTCCAAATCGACCCTCTTGGCTGAAATGGGTAGGTTTTTCCTTCGCTGACGGTTCTTGTTCTCGCCCTGTCCCCCACGTATTTGATTGTGTCTGTTGTCGTAGCTTTCCGCTGGCTTGAACGATGGGCCCCGCACTGTCGCTGATGACGTTGGGCTCGCGGCCTTCCTCCATCCCTGCTGCCATTGCCTGCCTTTCCTTGCAAGCCTCGGGGCATTTCTCGCACGAGCTGGTCCCATCGTTGTGGCTAATGATGATGATGATGATGATGATGATGATGATGATGATGATGATGATGACGCTAATGATGATGCTGATGATGATGATGATGATGATGGTGATGATGATGATGATGATGATGATGATGATGATGATGATGATGATGATGATGATGATGATGATGATGATGATGACGCGTAGATGTGCCTCGCACGACCGCGTGCAGTAACAGAGCCTGCTGCCGCTGCCTGCCGATTCTCGCACGGCCCGGTCCCCGCATTGTGGCCCAGAACATGTCCAACGAGCACCTTCTCGCACGAGTTAGCCCCCAGAGGAGGAGGGGGAGGAGGAGGAGGACGAGATGGAGAAGGAGGAGGAGGACGAGGACGAGGAGGAGGAGGAGGATACTAGACGACTCCCAGCTCAATTCTCAATCCCTCCCTCCTCCTCCTCAGCCAAACTGTGTCTCGTACGGCCCCCGTTTGATTGGCGATACTGAATCGTGCCAGAACACGATTCTTGGGACTCGAACGCCGCGAATCAATGTAACTGTTGTGGCCGAACAATCCTGAGTTATTTCCCAAGCGCGTTTTTGATACGTTAACCATGCGGTCCCGCGAAACTTCCTGCAGTTGTTCAAAACAGATTTGCGCGGCGCTACGGCGAGAGCAACATGTTGAAACAAAGCCGCCCTCAATCCGCATTTTTTGCATTTCTGACAGCTACATGTTGAAAACGACTCGCTTTCAATCCGTGAGACTTCTGAAAACGTCTAGAATGAATGCGCGCGGCGCTTAGGCGAGACCCACCTTTTGAAAACGAGCCGCCTTAAATCCGTAATGCTGTTGCAATGTGTTGCGCGAGTGCGCGTAGCGCTAAGGCGAGAGCCGCAACAATTAGCACGACCCGCATATTCCTGCACTTGTTCAAAACGAAGGCTCACGGCGCTAAGTTGAAAGCCCTCACTCCGTGAAGCTTTTGCACATGTTTCAAACTGATGCGCACGGCGCTAAGGCGAGAGCCACATTCTGAAACTCACCCGCTCTTTATCCGTACCCCTCTTGGAAATGTGCAAAGCGAATCTGGGAGGCGCCAAGTCGAGATTCACATTTGAGGACCACCCGCTCTCCATCTGTGAAGCTGTTGTCAAGTTTGAAGCACCAAGGTGATACATTGTGAGGGGGTCCCAGGCGAAACGCCAGGCCCGCCCTTTCGATCGGCCTCGGGGTGCGACAGGGAGGACTTATGTATAAGGAAAGGAATGGAGGAGGTAGACGACCACAAGGTGGAGGGAGGAGGTGGAAGGGGCGCTGGAAGAGGAGGTCGGGGAGGGCGCGAAAGGGGAGAAGGAGGAGGAGGAGGTGGAGGCGGTGTAGGAGGAGGTGGGGGGAGGACGTACAAAAGGTAGAAGAGACGGAAATGGCAGAGGAGGCGAAGGAGGCGGAGGCGGAGGAGGAGGCGGAGGAGTAAGAAGAGGAGGAGGAGGAGGGAGGAGGAGGAGGAAGGAGGAGGATGAGAAGGAGGACGATAAGGAGGAAGATAAGGAGGAGGATGAGGTGTGAATGGAAGTGGAGGTGGTGAACGGAGATGAACAAGGGGGGGGGCAAAGGGAAATTGTATGAAGCGCAGCGGCGGCAGGAGGAGGAACACGGGGTGAGTTCGAAGAGGGCAAGGGTGGCACCGGCAGGATAACGACCAGGAGAGAGGAGGAGGAGGCGGAGGAGGAGGAGGACGACGAGGAGGAGGAGGAGGAGGAGGAGGAGGCGGAGGAGGAGGAGGAGGAGGAGGAGGGGGAGATGAAGTGGGAGGAGGAGGGGAAGGATGAGGAGGAGGAGGAGGAAGAGCAGGAGGAGGAGGAGGAGCAGGAGGAGCAGCAGATGGAGGAGGATGAGGGAACAGTGGAAGAAGGATGAAAGAGGATGGGGAGGAGGAGGAGGAACCGCACGCTCGAAGAACGAAGGAGGAGCGTGAGTTAAAGAACGACGACGGGCGAGGCGAGGGATGGGGGAGGAGAAGTAAGAGGCGGAGGCGAAGGAGGTGGAGGAGCAGAAGGAGAAGGAGGAGAGGAGAAGGAGGTGGATGACGCCGAGGTGGAGGGGGGCGGAGGAGGAGGTGAGTAGAACACGTTCAGGAGGGGGAGGAGGATGAGGAGGAAGAGGAAGAGCACCAGTTCAAACCCACGACTCATCAAAGATGTTTTGGTGCTCCCTCCCTCCAAGCTCCCTCTTTACAGGCCCCTATCAGGGTTCATTTCCCGTTGAGGGAATTTTCCCGTTGGGAGACAACCTTGTAATAATCCCGAAGCATGCCAAAAGCACCCGTCTCAGGAATTCAACGCCGCGAGTCAACTTGATGGTTGCGTCTTGACGACCCTGAATTTTGATAGAAAACCAGTCAGGAGATTTCAACACCGCGAGTCCACGTAATTGTTGCGCCCCGATTATCCTGAACCGCTCGAAAACAGTATTCTCTGGCACGTTATCCATACGATCCAATGGAACTCTTGCAAATGATGCTGCGCGGCGCTACGGCGAAAACCACATTTTGAAAAGGAGCCGCCTTCAACCCGTGAAACCGTTGCAAGTTTGTAGAAAAGGATGTGTGCGTTTGCGCGAGTGTCACATTCTGAGAACCACCCGCCCTCAATCCCTAAAGCTCTTGCCACTGATTAAACCAACGTGGGCAGCGCTAGCGCGATAACCACATGTTGAAAGGAACAGTTCGCAGGTCTTGCAATGGTTTAACACGAGTGTGCGCGGCGCTGAAGCGAGAACCACATGTTGAGAGCCACCCGCCCTCTCACATTCGCGAAGTAGGCATTCGTTTGCACGAGTGTGCTCGGCGCCAGGCCAGGGCCACATGTTGAACGCCACGCGCCTCCCCATCTGTGAAAGTCTTGTCAGTTTCTGCCTTTTCAGGCGCATCAGTGGTAAGGACGTCTCGGGCGAAACGCAAGTCAAAGGAATAGAGGTGGAGGAGGAGGAGGAGGAGGAGGAGGAGGAGGAGGAGGAGGAAGAGGAGGAGGAGGCAGAGGAGGAGGAGGAGGAGGAGGAGGAGGAGGAGGAGGAAAAGGATGAGGAGGAGGAGGAGGTGGAGGTGGAGTCGGGAGGAGGGGGTCTGGCAAAGGGGCTTGCGCGAAGCGGAAGGCGGCAGGATGAGGAGCACGGGATGAGCGGGAGGAGGACGAGGGTGGCGTCAGCAGGATGACGACCAGGACAGGAGGATGAAGGAGGGGGAAGGAGGAGGAGGAGGAGGAGGAAAAGGAGGCGAACGATCGAACGACAGAGGAGGACAGCGAGCTGAAGAACGACGGCGGGCGAGGGGAGGGAGGGAGGAGGAGGGGGAGGAGGAGGACAAGTTGTGGAAAGATGGGAGCGGGCTGAAGAAGGAAGCACGATGTGGGCCCGCTGGAGAAGGACGACGGGCGAGGAGAGGGAGGGAGCATGCGGAAACAGGCTGGTGCCCTCCTCCTACCTCCTGGCTTCTCGCCCCGCCGACACAGTCTCTGCCTCTCCCCTGCTCTGCCCAGCTCAGGCACTGAGCTCCGGGCCCCGAGGGCAGCTGGGACCCACCCTGGAAGGGCCCCTTCTGCTTGCGCGAGGGCTCCTCACATCTGGCAATCGAGTTCGGCAGTTGCCTGGCGATTTCGGCGGTTCGTCCTGACGCCGCGCGGATCGCCCAATCTCGAGCGATCACGCATGTATGATACAGTCAACCCGAATAGTCAGGATGAACAACTGCTTCCAAGTTTACCACTGCGTCCCCCCTTCGGCCCATCCTCGACCGCTTTCGCTGGCCGCGCCCCGCCCGCAAAGTGTCGGCAGGGCCTTCCAAGAACCTTGCATCCTTAACTTATCATGCGCTCTCATTTTACACAAATTGACTGTAGCGCAGCTCGTTTGATGGCACGATGTCGGCGGATCCCGGGCCATTGGCGGCGCTACGCTTCGAGCGCCCGCGCTGGAGTCCCTGCTGGGCCGCCACGGGGCGCGTCTGCCGCAGCCGTGCGTCTTCCACCTCCCCCCCCCTCGGGGCCCGCCGCGAGGACCTCTCCCTCGAGAACGTGCTGCTCACCCACGGCAGCGGCGGCCTCCCCCCAACCTTCCCAGACCCCCTCGCGCTGTGCAAAAATCATGACGGGAGGTTTTTCGCTACTCTCGGCCTCTGGGAGCCCTGTCCGGGCCTCGGGGCCGTCAAAAGATGACTCAGGATGAAAGACTGGTCCTGGGGAAGGGGTCCAGACTTTTGGGAGATGACGTTGCGACAAAAATCACGGCGTCGGGAGTCTGGGCCTCGTGCTTGCCAGCGCCCCCCCAGAGCGTGCTTGCCCTCCGCGCGAGGAGGAGTGGGAGGAGGAGGAGGAGGAGGAGGAGGAGGAGGAGGAGGAGGAGGAGGAGGAGGAGGCAGAAGGGGGAGGAAGAGCAGGAGGGGGAGGAGAGGAGGAGGAGGAGGAGGAGGAGGAGGAGGAGGAGGAGGAGGAGGAGGAGGGAGGAGGGGAGGAGGAGGGAGAGGGGGGGAGGAGGAGGAGGAGGAAGAGGAGGAGGAGGAGGAGGAAGAGGAGGAGGAAGAGGAGGAAGAGGAGGATGACGACGACGACAAGGGGCGGATGCCGCCGCTCGTCCTGGAGGTTCCTCGTCCCCGCGGCTGGGCTCTCCTCGGAGTGCTGTTCAGGAGGCCCCTCCCCAGAGGTCCGCGGAGCAGCGGCGTCGGTTTTGTCCCCCACCCCCCTTCCTCCAGAGAGGAGGGTCGGCGGCGTCTGCAGGAGGAGGGCAGGATGTAGCTGGAATTGTGGCATCGGGTACGGTAGGTTCGTGTCGTGTCGACCGGCGGCGACCCCGCCAGCGGCGTTCAACTTTGAACGCCGGCGGCGGCCCAGAATCGATCGATGTTGAACGATTGGACGTTGCGGAAACGGCCGATCGTTCAAGGTTGAACGATCCCCGCGGTGTCAGAAACCAACGCCGGGGTCGGCACGACACGAACCTGCCGTAGGCGCGCGGCCAGGACTTCGAGCGCATCCCTCGGGATGGTGTTTCCGCTTGACTGCAGCCGTCCAGACCGTTGCGCGGTCGCGTGAGCTGCCCGCGCGGGGGCTCGTGGAAGCCGTGCGCAGGGCTGCCCCGCTCGGTGGCGTGTGGCGGCGATACCGGGTGGTGGCCGCCCAGTTCGGTTGTTGCTGTCTGGACGTTTGGGCCGTCTCGCCGTCGTTCAGAGCCCCGAATCGTCAGGGGTAACTCGGGTCAGGGCTAACTCGGGTTCCTTTTTCGGGACTCCGAACCCGAGTTACCCCGGACCCGAGTTACCCCGGATAACTCGGGCGTCCAGAGCCCCGAATCATCAGGGGTAACTCGGGTCAGGGCTATCTCGGGTTCCTTTTTCGGGACTCCGAACCCGAGTTACCCCGGACCCGAGTTACCCCGGATAATTCGGGCGCCCAAGTCGTGTCAGCTGCCCGCTCAGCGGTCCGCGCCAGCCTCGCGCGGGGAGCGGCGCCCAAGTCCAGCGGATTCCGTTGTGACGTCACATCGGCCGGGGTCTAACAGTCCCGCGGTGCAGGTTCGAGTCCTCTTCCGTGTGCCGTCTAGTGCTCAGGGGGGCCGGGTGCCCGAGAATCACCGTGGTCTTGCCGTGGCTGGCTCTTCCTCCGCTCCCTCGCCAGGGGCTACCCTGGCGGGTGGTTGCCCAATCTGCAAGGTGGACAGCGGCTTGGACACCTAGCTGTGGGCAGTCCTGTCCTCCAGGCGCAGGTTAGCGCAGTGGGCGACACGTGTTCCACGCGGGCCGCCTCGCAATCCAAGTCGCCGCAGCGATGCTTCCTGCCCTGTCTGTCGGAGGAGCATGGCTGAGACGGGGTACGAACTCACGAAACTCGATTGGTCGAGGTGGTCAAGCCCTCCTCCCGGCATGCGCTCGAGGAAGGCCTGACGCCCCCCGGCGGAAGTACTGTCGCCCGAAGACGGGGAGCACGAGCTCCAGGAGGCATCGGCCGCCTCGAGCGCGGCCCGAGCCTCGCCTCTGAGGACGTGCTGGACATCGCCAGGCCCAGACCGCGCGCGGGGCCGATCGCCTTTTCTGGGGCGTGCGGGTGGCTTTCCGTCCCGGTGACTTTTTTGGTTCGAAGAACACAGAACGGCATAAGGCATAAACATAAATTTGTGGCGCTCCGCGCGGATCTCTCCCACCGAGGGCTTAGACGCCGTCCGGGCCCAAAGGCCTCGACGAGAACATGTCCGCCCCCATCGCTGCCGCCGCCGAGCGCGCGCGGCCCGAGGCCTTCGCGCGCAGCGTGTCGTGAGACCTGTCATGTCCCGTCTGCCCCGGGGCGCCACTGACCGACGACAGGAACCGCTCACCGCTCCGAGTCACTTCGGTATTGTCGCGCCCTCCATCGTCAGGGGGCTAAGCCATTACATAAACATAACAACTCGGAGGTCCGCGCAGATTTCTCGGGTCCGCGCCAGACCCCCCTGGCGGCGCCTCCAGCGCCACCCCTGGCGCGCTCCGCGCGCGAGGGAGAGGGGTCCAGGGCGGATCCAAGAAATCCGCGCGGACATCTGAGGCGTTTGAATGTTTATGCCATTTCTCGTCCCCCTCGTGTTGACGCGCCCTCCGTCCATGACCGCGAGGGGGAAAGTTTGGCTCATCCGTCAGACCGACGGCCCCTCGCGCGCAGTCCAGGGAGGAGCTCACTCAGCGTCGCGGCGAGCTGGTGTCCCGGCCACCGCCGCCGTCCCCGAGGTCCGCCCCCCCATCAGCGGCCCGCCGTCACACGCCCCCTCTCCTCTCCGAAGCCCGAGGCCCCCCCACGCCACGACCCGCTTCCCTCAGAGCGGAGAGTCTGGACACGCTTTTCGGGGCTCGTCCCTGTTCACGCCGGCTGTCCGCCCCGCAGCGTCGGCGGGCGGCGCCGCCCGCGCCCGGTCGGGGAGGCCCCGCGCGGCCAGTGTCAGCTGACAGGGCCCTGGCGATTTCGCCGCGCGAAGCGCTGCGGAATTTTGGTATTGTTCCATGGAGCACACGCCGGGACAACAGCATTTTTTTTGAGTCATACATCGTGCCCTCGTGGGGTCTGGCCCAGCGCGCTTTCGTCGATGCTTCTGTCTCGGTTCGTTCCCTCCTCCCCGTGCTCCCCGACGCCACGATCGCCACGCAGGGCGGAGCACAGGCCATGGAGGAGTGCAAGCAAAACGGAGCCGTCGACAAATGGGAGCGGACCATGATCACGGACTTGGGCCAACATTCGGGCGTCCTTGTCTGATTTCAAGCAGTGGCGAAACGTCTTGGCTCGCCTATAGGCCTACCAAAGAAAATAATGGTCTAATAACCTTGTGTGGTCTCCACGAAATTGTATTAGAACATTTCTGGCTGGGAATGTCTTGTTTTAGCACATCGGGTCTATGTTCTAAGAGCATTTGCTTTTGTTTCAGGACATTGTTGGGTTCTAAGAACATGTCGTGGTGTGACTATAGAAATGCCGGGACGGTCGGTCCCTGCTCATATCAGTCTCAAGGGCCCTTGCTCAATGATTGTCCGACAGGCAGCATTGGCTTCAACACGTGCGTCTAGTGGAACTGGAGCGTAGCAGCTAGCACCACGAAGCAGCACCTGCAGCAATGGGGGCTCTGGTTTGCTTGGGCCCACGAATGCAGCCCGCCCCTCCCCCAGGCCACCTATACTTGTCAGATGTGGCGGACTATTTGTGCGCGCGACCGTTCCTGGGCACGTGCCGGCGCGGTCACGGGAGCGATTCGGGGACTTCGTTCCGTAGCCCGGGAGGCGCAAGTGGCAGCTTTGGAGGGCATTTTCTGATCACCGCTGGTTCAGGGCTTCCTCGTTGGGACGGCGCTACCGCTTGCAGCTCTGGTGCAATGGGGGCGCTGGATTTGTTCTGGCTCCGCGCCCGAGCACGAGGTGTTGTTCTTGGGCGGCCTGCTTCTGATGACGTGGGCCGTGGGCTGGCCTCAGGTTCGCAGATGCGCAGCGAGCGAGCCCGGCCTAGACGTCCCGGGCCGGGCAGCCGTTCGGGGCTTCGGCGCACGGTTTTTGTTGGCCTCCCCCCGCAGCGGTGTTGGGGATACGTATATTTTGACACGCTCCGTCGCTGGCATGCTCGCATGGTTGGGCGAGGCGGGCAAGGGCTCGTGATCGACTACCTCTTCCCCGACGTCGCGACGTCGTGGGTGGGCGCCGCGTCGTGGCTGCAGCGCCCCTGCGCTGCTGGTGGTTTGTTTTTGGGGGGGCCATTTCCGATTTCCCGCGGCAGTGCCCGTTGGGCCCAAGGGCGCAGACGCTCATCTCGTGCTTGGAGCTCCTGGCCCAGATCGCTCTGCCGGCGCGCTGGATGCGCTCCCCGTGCCGGTGGCGGAGCGCATGCTGCTCCGACAGGGAACGAACAATACCGCCAGCGGGGTGCCATTCTGAAAAGCTTCAGAACCTCACATCCTTTGCGGCGTTTTGTCCAACTGGCCACGAGATGGTCCACGAGCGCCAAGTTGAAATCTGAATCGATTATGTCCCGGGCGTGGGCAACGAGTGGGCAAACGCTCTGAGCTGCGATTGTGGGTGGATCTGGGACTTCTCCCCAAGGGCCAGCGCGTGCAGTTACTTTCACCTGTCGGACCTGCTCAGTCCTCGAGGGCGCGCGCGCCTCCATGCGGTGACCACGAGCGGTGGCGGGGCCGCCTGCGGTAGGTAGCCATCGCGAGCTCGTGGCGGCACGCCCCGCGCAATTTTTTGAGCGCTCAGCTGGAGGTCGCGCGCAGGTTAGCGCAGCTGGGCGCTGAGCACAGCGCCGGCGCGCACCTCGTCCGAGCGCGGGGGGGCGAGAGGGGGCGAGCACGCCTGGGCTGCGGTGGCCTGCGGGGGGGCAAGGGCGTTGCCGTTTTGCTTCTGCGCCGCTGCACAGCGGCCGTGGCGGCAGCAGCGGCCACACCACCGCAGCAAAGAGAAGACGGGCGATCGTCCGTTCCCTTCTGTCCCCTCGCCCCTCTGCACCTACTGGCGGCGACCCCGAGGGATGAGGATGATGCTGCAGATGCTGGTGGTGATAGTGGTGGCCACCAAGGGCGAGGAGGAAGGAAGACGAGAGGAGGAGGAGGAGGAGGAGGAGGAGGAGGAGGAGGAGGAGGAGGAGGGGAGGGGGAGGAGGGGGAGGGAGTGAGAGGCGATGAGGAGGTGGATGGGGGCGGGGGAGTGAGGAGAAGGAGGACATACAGACCCTCGCGGGGGTGTTGGTGGCGAAAAGGGAAGTTGAGGCACCACGTCGCGAGCTGAGGCCGACGGTATGGCGGGAAAACATGATGTGCAAGTGTTCAGGAAGGCGGAGGGGGCGGAGGCGGTGGAGGGTGGGGAAGGGTGGGAATACGGAGGACAAGGGGCAGAAGGAGTAAGAGTATGAGGAGGAGTACGGGGAGGAGGAGGGAGAGGATGTGCAAGGGGCGGGGCAAGGAGGGGGAGGAGGAGGAGGAGGAGGAGGAGGAGGAGGAGGAGGAGGAGGAGGAGGAGGAGGAGGGAGGATGACGAGGGAACTTCAATGTCAGCAGTCAGGCGAAGGAGGAGGAGGATGAGGAGGAGGAGGCGGAGGAGGAGGAGGAGGAGGAGGACCGGGAGGGCGCGGATGGAAGAGCAAAATGGGGGGGGAGCATGCTTGCCAACGCCACTCCCTGAGTGTTCACCCTCGCCCCGCCGACACGGCGCAGTGCTTGGCATGCGCGCGGTGGCGGGCCCTGTCCTCCATCTCGCCGACCCTGCCCGTGCGGTGTGACGCGGGAAGGGCCTCGCCCTCGGCGCGTCCCACCTCGGCGGAAGGTGGCAGAAGTGAGACGGCGGAGGAGCCGCTGGAAGAAGTTGGCGGAAGGCGGCGGAGATAAGTGTGTGAAGCCTCAACAGTTGCGGCTCACAGTTCCGGAATTGCCGATTGCCCCGGGACTTCTCGAACCCCTCCCGGAGGAGGAGGAGGAGGAGGAGGAGGAGGAGGAGAAGGAGGAGGAGGCGGAGGCGGAGGCGGAGGAGGAGCAGGAGGAGGAGGAGGAGGAGGAGGAGCGGCAGGAGGAGGAGCAGGAGGAGGAGGAGCAGGAGGTGGAAGGGGAGAAGGAGGAGGAGGAGGAGGAGGGAAGAGGCGAGGATGGAAGAAGAGGAGGAGGAGGAGGAGGAGGAGGAAGAGAGCGAGAGGAGCAGGGGGAGAAAAAGGAGAAGAAGGAGGAGAAAGGAAGGGGGCAAGCCAGGTGCGCTGGCGCCCGGGCACCACAGAGGCGTCACAGCTCTGCCCCTCGGCCCCCGCAGGCCACGGGGTACAGCCCACGGCAAACGAGCCGCGCCCAACCGCGGCGACGCCCCAGGTTCAGTCGGGCCTGTCCCTCCACAGGGGGAACAGCCGAGTGCCCCGGATAAAAATGTACCCCCTTTTTCCCCGCTCTAACATATTTATCCCGTGCCAATAGGATGTAAGTGTGGAGAGGGCGCGGAGGCCGAACTGGATATTCCGCGGGGAAAGTTGCGAATCGAAGTTGTGATCATCGTATGTTGACTAGCGACAGCATCGCAAACGCTGAGCATGGCAATGGTGGTCTCACCATGTCAGCTCCTGCAATCACGAGCGTGTTGTGGCCACGAGCCTCGAGATCTCTCGAGTCAGTCTTGTGCCAAGATCTACACGGTCAGATTACACGAACGCCCAGGATCATCATCGTCATCAACATCAGCACGATCGTAATCATCATCATCCTCATCATCATAACCTCACCTTCGCCGGGAACATCGTTGATTATCCCCCTATTTGTTTTTTTCCTGCCATTTGCGAATTTTTTATGAATACTCAAAAAAGGTTGTGGTCTAAAATCCTCCTGTAGGGGGACACGCCCGACTTAAACCCAAGGTCGAGTGAAACGTGCCTGGACGGCACATCGGCTGCAAATCGCCCGCGTGAGAGTATATGCAAGAACGCGCCGGCAGCGAGCGCGCGGGGAGCAGTGTACTTAGTGCCCCGCCGTACATGCACGTTGCTCTTGTCAGCGCTCGCGCGTGGCCCAAGAAGGGGCAGGATCGCCGTGACGCCGGCCTCCGCTCGGCTCGCGACATCATCGCTTCCGAGCCCGAGGTCGTGGTTCGAAAGTGTCGTTCCTGAAAGGGTCGTCGAAGTCTGGTCCAGGGAGTAGCTCTTTCTGTCGAGCACCTTCGCCGGGCCACTCGCGCGCACCGTCCTGACGCTCGCGATCGTCATCTCCAGCTGCTCGTGGAGGTCCTCGTTTGAGGGGTCACCACCACCGGCTGGAGCAGGGCACGGAACTCATCTTCGAACTCGTCGCCCGCTTGGTGCCTGCGGCGCTCGTCTCCTCATGCCCCTAGGGCTGAGTTGAACATCCCGTTGAAGGCTTCTGAGACCAGGTCCCAGTCCGCCTCCACACATTCGGCCCACTTCGCCTGCTGGGGCTCCCGTCGTCGCCAGGCTCAGCGGCGTTTCTATCCACCCGGCTCCCTGTGCCAGCTGGAACTCTTCGGCCCGAGTGGCTGCCATGTCTTAAGTCGAGCCTGTCCCTCTACAGGAGGAATAACCCCAGTGCCAAAATAGTCAAACAAACAATCTGGATACGATGTTTTGATAATTTCTCAATCTGTTTGAAGAATGTTTGGGGTATCTTTGATTTGTCGTCCAAAACCCGCCTGTAGCAGGACACGCCCGACCAATGCCATGTCCCACGCCACCAGGGGCGCGGCCCGCTGGCGACGGCTCGCCCTCGTCCTGGGGCGACGGCTGCCCGCCTCTGGCGTTCATCGGAGCTTTCCTCGGCTGCCGGCGACCTCCGCGGAGCCCGCCGCCCAACAGAAAAGAGTAGGACGAGAAGGAGGGGGAGGGGAATGAGGAGGAGGAGGAGGACGAGGAGGACGAGGAGGACGAGGAAGAGGAGGAGGAGGAGGACGAGGACGATGAGGAGGAGGAGGAGGAATAATTGTCGGGGGACGAGGAGGGGGAGGAGGAAGAGGAGGACGAGGAATCTTTTCTGGAGGAGAAGCAGGAGGAGGAGGAGGAGGAGGAGGACAAGGAGGAGAAGGGGAAGCGTCTGCCTGGCCGGGGATCAGGCTCGAGCAACGCAGATCGCGCCAGGCCCTCCCTACGTATCGGAGAAGCGACGGCGTCGCCGCAGGGATGGAGGCAGCACTCCGCAGGGTCCCGCAGGCGCGGCCGCCGCGCCCCTCACCGGTCGTTGAAGGTCCCTCCCCGTCGTCTCGCCTTTTTCGTTGTCCTCCCGTCCTCCCCCGGACGGCGACGGTACACGGACGGCTACAGCGGCAAGCAAGGTCTCGTTCTATGATGCTCCAACCTACTTTAGCCTTGAGCACCAGAGAGAATTTCGAGCGCCAAAAAAAACGAAACTCAAGGGTTTTCACGTGTCGGGCCCTGGGAGACACTCGCCCGACACTGTTTCGACACTGTTTCGACACTCCTTTGACACTTTTCCGGGTGTGGGATGTGGTATTTAAGTAGGATGGGAATCACACAAGTCTCGTTCCCATCGCCCAGGAGCGACAGAAAGGACATGCACGCACATGAATCCACAGTGCACGAACGCTCGTGACGCGAGGTCGGCCTCGCGGACTGGGGGGGGCGTGTTCACCTACGTGGCTGGTCGCGGGCGTCCTTTGTGGGTTCTCTAGTCTTAAGTCGGGCCTGTCCCCCTACAGGCCGATTTTGGACAAAAAATTCAAGACACCCCGAAAAGAATGCAAACATGATCGGCAATGGTCAAAAAAACCATACCCTTTCTTGTACTATTTTTGAATATTCCCTCTTCAGAGGGACAGGCCCGATTTAGCCCTAGTTTCCGATTTCAAAGCCAGCCATTCAGACTCCGACTCATGCTCGCAGCGCGTCTCTAGAACGCCCCTGCGGGACGGGAAAATGACCACAGCTGCTGCTTCTTGTTTGCGCCGCCTTCCAGCCGGCCGAAAAAGAAGCAGTGGTTGTGGTCATTTCCTTGGTGCCAAGCTTAACGAAAATGACCACAGCCACTGCTGTGTCTCTGCTGGCTGGAAGGCGGCAACAAAAGAAAAGCAGTGGCTGTGGTCGTTTTCACCCGCAGCCCCTGCCCCCCGCGCTGCCCTCGGTAGGGCCGGTCCCGTCGGACCGACATCTCGCGCTCGCTCGCCCGCTCTCCTCCTCCGCCGCGTGGCCTGGCAGCGCGCAAACGGCCAGGAGCGGCCGGGTCTTGGGTCAGGGACTGCGGCCAGACGGCTGCAAGGGATTTGACTGCGCGCTATCTCAAGCAGCGGCGAAGCGTCCTGGCTCGGATATAGCCCTGCCAAGCAATGTTATAACCACCTTTCTGGTTTCCACGAAATGTTCTTAGAACATTTCTGGCGGAGTCTGTTTTGTTTTATCACATCGGGTTTATGTTCTAAGAACATATGATTTGTTCTCAGAATATTCTTTGGTTATACGCACATTTCGTGGTATGACTACAGGAATGCTGGGACGGTCGGTCCCTGCTCAACTATCAGTATCAAGGACCCCAGAGGTAGTCAAAAGTATGTATGTCTGGATCCTTATATTCCAATCTACTTCAGACGCCTTCCTATGTCAAGTGTCGAGCGGTTTTCCCTTGTCCTTCCTCCTCACAGGGCGGTCGGAGATTCTAGACCCTTCGTGCAACCCCACCAGCCCATCCAGAAACGATGCCCAGAGGAATTGCCTCGATCAGGGAAGTTGGCAGCACACAGAGGAAGGGTCCCCCAGTGGAGGCCTCTTGGAGCATCTTGGGGGCCTATTGGCGGTCCCGGACGCCTCTTAGAGCGTCTTGGGTGGCTCGGAGACCTTCTTGGGGCCTCTTGGGGGTCTCTTGGGAGCCTCTTGGAGGCCTCTTGGGCGCCCGTTGGGGCATCCTGGGGCCTCCTGGGCGCCTCCTGGGGCCCTCTTGAAGCGCTCTTGGGAGCCTTGGGAGCGCTCTTGGCGCCCTCTTGGGCAATCTTGGAGCCATCTTGAGGCCTCGGATGGCCATCGGAAGCGAAAAGGCGAGAAAGCCAGAAACATTGATGGTCCCATGGTTTTGGAAGGATTTTGGCCTCGTCGGGGCTTCCTGGGGGAGCTCTTTGGCCACTTGGAGCCGTCTTGGAGCAGTCTTGGGGCATCTTGGAGCATCGTGGGAGCCATCTTGAGGCATCTTGGGATATCATGAGCCATCTTGGAGGTCATCTTGGGCTCTCCCAGGGCCAAAACCTTAATCAAATTAATGATTGTGGCATTGTCTCCGAGGCCTCTTGGAGCGTCTTGGGTGCCTCTGGGGGGCCTCTTGGGGTCTCTTGGGGGCCTCTTGGGGGTATCCTGGGGGCCTCTTGGGGGCCTCTTGGGGCCTCCTGGCCACCTCTTGGGGCCATCTAGGGGCACCCTTGGGAGCCGGGGAGCGCTCTTGGGGCCATCTCGGAGGAGATCGATCAAAGAAGGGGTGTCCCTCAATTAGCGTCGCCCCCCAAGAGTCCAACATGGGGGGCAAAACCATAATAAAACCAATGATGTTGGTTTCCTCGCCGAGGCCATGTTTGACGCTCCGACGACTCGCGGAACGCCCTGTCCAGGTCCTGGGGAGGGGGTAGGGGGGAAGAAGAGGGTGGAACAGGAAACACCCTAAACCACCTACGCCCTAAAGGGTTGGTGGGATTCAATATCCTTTCAACGCCTTGTTACTTCATGTTTCTACCACTTTCTTCCGAAAGGCTGGTGCTGATACCGTTGCCATTCCCTCGTTTTGGCTTTTTGGGGCCTCCTGGGGAATTTGGTCCCGAGGTACCCTAGGAGATATCTTCGGAGTTACAGTTGTCCCCTATTCAAGTTTTCGGCTCTTCCAGAGTCTGAGTGGGAGGAACAGGGCGCGGACGAGGGCGACGATGGCGAGGAACACATTAAGTTCGAGGCGGATGACAAACACCCTCCCGTCCCAAGTCCCCACTGCATAAGTCCCTATACATATTCCTCTCCATTAGGGAAGATTCCCTCTTGAATGACGAGGACATCCACCTATAAGTACCTCTTTCTGAAGGGAGCGGACGATCCTAGGACAGTTTGAATTAGAAGGACGTGTCCAGGGATATCTCCGTTTTGAAATGGAGTTGCTTTCCATCCGCGCATCTGATGCGCAAATTGTAACTTCCTTTTACAATGATTGCGGATGTCTTTTGCGAGAACCCCTTTCCGAAAAAGAGTTGCCTCCATCCGTATAGTTGATGCACGATGCGGAAGGTCGTGCTTCAGAATCGGAGGGAGATCACACGATCCGCCATCCATCCTTGTAAATGTTACATGTTGAACCCTTTCGAAAGGAATGCGCGCATCGCTAAGGCGAGAGCTGCAAGTTGAAAACCATTGGCCGCCCATCTTTGTAACTGTTGAAGCATGTTACAAATGGCATGCGCGACGCTAAGGGAAAACCGCCGCATTTTGAAAACGACCCGCCCCCCATTTCTATAAGTGGTCGAAGTTTGAAAATATATGTGCTCGGCACTAATGCGTGAGAGAGCTGCATTTCGAACACTGCCAGCCGTCTGAAGCTGTTTAGTCTCAGAAGGGGTGGGGCACCGTGTCTTCCGCGCAAGTTTGCAGGAATACCCCCGAGAGTGGCACGAACGGAGCAGGCCCTGAGGGAACCCGTCCTGATCAGTTCTTGGACGGTCCCGGGGCCAGGGGAGGGCCCAGGGAGCCAGAATATTGGCACAAACAAAATCGGGGCCCGTTTCACCCTGGACCCCCTCCCCTTCGGGTGACGGAGAAGCTCCGCACAGGCGCCCTTCAGAGCGCGTGCAGCAGCGCGTGGCGCGGTTCTCTTCCCGCTCGCATCCGCCCGGGTGTTTCCGCCTCTTTCCGGCCCGCGGTCCGGTCGGTTCGCACGTCGGGTCCAGCCCCCGCTTGTACTTGTCTCCTCCTCCTCCTCCTCCTCCTCCTCCTCCTCCTCTCCTCCTCCTCCTCCTATTCCTCCTTCCTCCTCCTCCCCCTCCTCCCTCCTCCTCCTCCTCCTCCTCCTCCTTCTCCTTCCTCCTCCTCCTCCTCTCCTCCTCCTCCTTCTGTCCTCCTCCCCTATTCCTTTTCCCTCCTCCTCCTCCTCCTCCCCATTCTCCCCTCCTCCTCATCCTCTATTCTTTTCCCCTCCTCCTTCTCCTCCTCCTCCTCCTCCTCCTCCTCCTAATGGCTTCTCTTCCTCCTGTTCCTTCTCCTCCTCCTCCTCCTCCTCCTCCTCGCCTCGGGGGGGGGGGCTTGGGATAATGCCGAGGGAGATCCAGGAGGCACACCAGCAAAGGACCGCAGAAGGGCCCCGTGCCCGGCCCGCCGGCCAGGATGCCCTGAGCGGCGGGCGCGCCGCCGACGACTGGCTGCCCGTCCTGGTCCTGGCGCTCTCGGTGGTGCTGGTCGCCGGGCCCCGGCTCGCCGACCTGCGTGCGGCTGCCTTTCGCTCGCCCCCTTCCCTCCTGTCCTCGCCCTCGCCCTCGCTCTCGCTCTCTCTCGCCCTCTCTCCCCCGTCTCTCTCTCTCTCTCTCTATCCAGCTTCCTCTCCCTCCCCCATCCCGCCCTCCCTCCCTCCCCCTCTCCCCCTCATCCTCCCCCCCGCGAGCCCCCCTCTCGCTCTCTCTCTCTCTCTCTCGCTCTCTCTCTCTCTCTCTCTCTCTCTCTCCCCCTCTCGCGCTCTTTCTCTCTCTCTCTCTCGCGCTCTCCCTCTCTTTTTCCCGCTCGCTGAGGTGCCACCCGCGCCCGCGCGGGCAGAGGGAGGGAGGGGAGGGAGGGGATGGGAGGGGAGGGAGAGGATGGGAGGGGAGGGAGGGAGAGGATGGGAGGGGAGGGGAGGGAGGGGAGGGAGAGGATGGGATGGGAGGGGAGGGGAGGGAGAGGATGGGAGGGGAGGGGAGCACGAAGAGGGAGAGGTGCACACGTGAGGCTGCGGGGTCGGGAGCTCGAAGAAGGGGGAAACGGCGTGAGCGTCATTTGTCGACGGTCTGCACGCACGTCTCGGGCGCGTCGCTGGAGCTCTCGAGCGGCGCCTCAGGCGCCGCCTCCCGCGCGCTCCGCGCGACTGGGAGTGGGGTCCAGGCCGAATCCACGAAATTTGCGCGGATCGTCGAACGTCGATGTTCATGCCGTTATTCTTTCTTGGCACCCCTGAGGTTGACGTCGATCATTCTGAGCGGTCTTGGCATGCGAGAAGGGGGCTTCAGCGGCGTCGGGGTTATCTTTTTTCTTCTCCCCCTCCTTTTAATCTCCTCTTCCTCGCTTGTCTTCTCTTAAGCGCAAGCGCGCTGATTTCGGCAGGGTCGGGGTTTCGCGTGCTTTGTTCCAATCGACGGACCCGCGTCTGGCTGAGCGCGCGGAAAGGTACCCGAGATGGCCCTTGTCGTCTCCACCCCGGCTGGCTGGTGAAGTTGGTGGCCCCTGGGGTTCATCCTGAACGCAGCCATCCCCGCCCCCCCAGAGCGGCCCTTGCTGCTAAGGGGGGAGTAGCACGTGGTTGCAAACAAACGCGTAAATGGACCTCCTCATCCTCCTCCTCCCTCTTCTCCTCCCTTTGGCGTCGGACGCGTGTTCCCGCGCCGCCAGGAGCACAGTGATCGGGAGCCGGCAAACACCTCCGCCGTCCTTTCTCCTCTCTCCTTTTTTTTTTTTTCTCTCTCTCTCTCTCTCTTTCCTCGTCTTTCTCCTCCTCCTGGTCCTTTTCCCCCTCCTCCTCCTCCTCCTCCTCCTCCTCCTCCTCCTCCTCCTCCTCCTCCTCCTCGCCGCGCGTGGGCCTCGCCGAGGTCGCCGTGTCGCAGCTGCGGCGGGCATTGGAGGGCCCATCCTACAAGGGCAGCCGCCTGCGCGCCAACCAGGCTGGGCTGGGAAATTCCCAGCAGGAGGAGGCGAAAGAGTAGGAGATGGAAAAGGAAGAGGAGGACCCAGATGCGCGGCAATGAGATTTTCCATCCAGGCGTTTTTCTTCGATTTCGGTTCAGCCTCCGGGCCCGCTGTCGAGCCATGGGCCATCAACCAAGTACCTGGGGCGAGACATCTGCCTTGGGAAAGGGGTCAGGACCTTTGGGGCCGCTCGTTGAAACACCAAAAATACGACATCGGCGGGTGTCTGGGGGAGGAGGAGCAGGAGAGGAAGAGGACGGGCAAGCTGGAGCGGAGGAGGAAGGACGGTCCAAGGAGGAGCAGGAGGAGGTCCAAGGGAGGAGGGAGCAGGGACCGAACGCGGAAGCAGGAGGGGCCTGTAGCCAGTCTGGCTCGAGCCGCTTTGGGCTCCGGCCCTCTGAATCCCGAGGAGGCACGCCTCCCTCCGGTGCGGGCGGCCGCCGCTGCCCCGCGGCGGCACTCGTCGGTGGCCCGCACGCCCTGCCCAAGGACCCCGAGCTGGCGCGCGACGGCGTCGGCCACATGCTCAACAGCTCCTCCTCCTCCTCCTCCCTCCTCCTCCTCCTCCTCCTCCTCCTCCTCCTGCTCCTCCTCCTCCTCCTCCTCCTCCTCCTCCTCCTCCTCCTCCTCCCGGGACGAGGGCGTGCCTGCCGTGGACGGCGGCTGCCCCGTGGGCCACGAGACGGAGTTGCAGGGCGTCAGCGCCCGGCCCGAGCTCCACGGCCGGCGGGGGGTTGGGCGGCGCGTCCGGACGCGAAGGCTTGCCGCGTGGGGTGCAGCACGCTGTCGCGGGAGATTGGCAGCCTGAAGCCGGCGAGCGTGGTGGACGCCGAGAGGGAGGCCAGGGAGCGGCAGAGGCCCCGGCAGGACGCGCGCGACGGCCAGGCAGCTTCTTTGCGGTTGCCCCTGGAGCCCGAGCTGATGGACCCGCGGACAGCGCTGCTGCCGGGAGGCGAGCAGAACCCGCAGGACGGGGTCGAGTTCAGGCCGACCGCGGCCGCGACCATCGTGGTGATGAAGAGGTGCACCGAGAACCTGCTGCTGCAGGAGCAGGGCTTCGAGGCGCTGGCACAGTTTTGCAAGCAGAGCCCGATCGGCAAGTCGGCCGTCAGACAGGCGGGTGGCATGGAGGTGGTGGTGGCCGCCATGATTGCGGCCAAGTTGTGGGGCGTAGGCGTATTATACGCGCGGGCTCCAGGGCTCTCGCCAACCTGGCCAACAGCGACCCCGCCTGCAAGATGGTGGTTCGGAGATATGGCGCGGTCAAGTTGGTGCTCAAAGAAGGCCCACAAGCAGGACCTGCGGCTGCAGCGCATGAGCTGCGCACTGACAGCACACCCAGCGCACGGCGACGGCGACTGCCAGGGGGAAGTGGTGGACGCAAGGGGGCACCGCTGTCGCCCTCGTGAGCGCCCTGCGCTTCCTGGCTGGCGACGCAGCCATCCAGGGGGGCGGCCTGCTGGCCACCGCGAGCCTCGCTGCGGGCCGCCGGCACGCAGAGGATGCGGTCTCCGATGCCGGCGCAGTCCCAGTCGTGGCAGCGGCTCGCAGACGGCATGACGACGACGCCAAAGGGCAGCCGTGGGGCCTGGCCGCCCTGAAGAACCTGGCGAGCGGCGAGAGGGAATGCAGGCAGGCCTCGTGCCAGGGTCAGGTCCTCCTCGCGAACATCCAGGTCGTCAGCCAGAGACGGAAGGGTTCCAACGTGCAGACGACGGTGTCTGGCGCTCTGGCCCACTTGGCGGGTCTGAGCTTCGCAGACGGGGGCCTAGCGAAACGGGGGCTTACACAGGCTTGTCCATATGCCCCGTTTACTATTCCCCCGTCTACGGCGCCCAGGGCCCCCTAAACGGTGGCACAGCCAAAAAGGACATCGGCGTCCCCGTGCCCCTGCTGTGCCCCCGTCTCCGGCATAGCGGGAAACGACGACTGCGACTGCAGGAATTTGATCATCAGATCTGGCGGCAACAATGTCGTGCTGGCTGGCACGGACGCGCACCCGCAGTCGCATGAGGTACACGAAGAGGGCTGCCACGTGCTTGTCCAGCTCGCACTCTCGAGGGCCAGCGAAGAGCGGGCGATCTGCGACGCGGGAGCCGCCGCGACGCTCGCGCGCATGCTACAGAACCATGCGAGCGTCGAGAGGC